GAGCTGAAGATGCAGAGAAGTGCCAAGAATGGTCCAGACCTTACCCATTTATTCAGTTCGCAAATAATAATTTGAGCTTATTCCCTGCCAGGCTGGTGGTCTGCACTAGGGATATAAAGAAAGGGTTGATGCATTCTCTGGTTAGTGCAAGAGACCAACACACCAACAGATGTTTAGCCCACAGAAGGACAGATAGTATGTTTGAAGTTGGCACCAAGTCCTCTGGGCTGAAAGAAAAGCTGTGTTGGGAGGAGCCTCCAAGAGGGCCTCTGAGGGAACAGGAAGAGAGCTGACACCTGAGGATGGAGAGTGCCAGGGAGAAGGAAAAGAGTGGGCCGGGCAGCACCTGGAAAATGGAGAGGACAGGCAACCGTGAAGACTACCATTTATAGAATGCTGCTCCTGGGCGGGCGCAGCTCTGAGTCTTCACCCATGGGCCCTTTGTGAACTTTTGCACTGTCCGGAAGTCCTGAAATGTGATGGTCACGGGGCCTTTCAGGGCAGGGCTGGAAGCCAACTTGAGGAAGGGACGTCCAGGAGCCACAGTGAGGACCCCCAGAACAGCTCTTTAGTGAGGGCTCAGCCTCTGGCTGGCATCTGTGACTTTATACGTGGATTTGTTACCTTTCCCTCTGCTCACCAGGTAGGCTCTGATTTAGATTACACCTAAAGGCAGAGTGCTATAATTAGATTACAAAGCAGTATTTTGAATTTGGGCATACTTTCTGGGTTTGACATTTAATATTACATCAGATTTCCAGCAATATAACTGAAAATGATTTGCATACTTGGTGTAAGTGAGTGGTCCAACTCCTTCCCACGTCTGACTGTTTTCAGGTACAGCAATGAAGGCACTTGGTTAGCCCCATAAAAAAAAGATCCCTAAGCTTCTCTCTGGAAAGCTCATCACACAGGCGATGCCCTGTGGACAGTGTTCACTGCAATGACAGCTGGAGCTCCTTGCCTCCTTTGTATGAGACAAACCCCATTCCCTCCAGGCTTCTAGAACAACACCCTCTCCATCTTGAGCACATATGTGTGTTATCTTGCCTGTAGAGAGACAGTGTGATGCCTTCACCTCCTTTCTGGGCTGATAGCCACCTTGCCCCCAGCCTCATCCCCCATATGTCCCAGGAAGAGGTGAACCATTCATCCAGCCTCCTTTTTACACACCTAAGCTCCTCATCACCATAAAGTTCATCTCCTCTGCTCCAGCGGCTCACACCCTGGCCCACTCTGGACCTTCTCTTCATCCAGGACTGTGCTTGTCTTAAACCCAAGCCC